CAATGTCGAGGTGCTGTGTGTCTATTTTGGACACCATAATGGATGCCACAATGTACCCCAAGCTTAACCCATAAAATATTTTATACGTAAACTCAAAACTTTTCTCTATTTAATAACGGCACATTCTCCAAAAGTTATTATTCCAAAATCCATTAACAACAAATAATGGAGTTCAAACAAGGGCTTAAAACTAATTTAGGTGATACCAAGGATTCACCTTCATTGTGAACAAGCCGGGAGGCAGAGAATGGAGGTGTGGTTCGAGAGAGTGAGCAATTCAATCGACTAGTTTTTTTCCTTTTTTCTTTTTTGCTTCTTTATTCTTTTCTTATTTATTTAAATTTCTATATGAAGTGTTTATCCCTAAAAATGAATTAGGAATGCGAGTTTGTATATTCTCTCCCTTAAAAACGTCAAGTAAGCAAAGGCCACATGAAACTTCCCCAATCTGCGAAGAGATCAATTCATGTAAGATACTTTCACGCATCCACCTTCTGCCTTTCCCTACAGATAAATAGATATTCATCTGTATTTTGACTACCTCTACTATATTCCGTCTAAATTGATTGTTTCGACCACAAATTATTGTATCATAATAAATGTTAAAATAATCTCCATATTAACCGATTCACCCTTAGATTTTTTTAGTATATTTCAATAAAAAATTGATAAAATATATGATTGAAAAGTAAAAATTAATTATTGATCTTAATTTATAATTCTATCAAAATTTTAACTAATTAAACTTGCCTCACATAATATAAAATAACACAACATTGTGCCTTCCGGGGCATAGTCCAGTAGTGCAAAGGACAAGAGTGAGGTTATCTCATGCCTTGCTGGCAGCCACAGTGTGGGGTTCGATTCCTGAGACATGAAATTGGATTTCTTGTAGTCGCAGTGTACATGCAGCTCTTGTTCCTTGACCTATTGGGGCACATTCCGCGATTTACCTCCCTCACAAAACTCTAGGGAAGAGGCGATGAGACTCTCAAGGTTGGGATTCAACCTTTGTTTTAAATAACACAACATTGTACACAATAGCATTTGTCATTGTATAGTATCGTATTAATTGTCTAATCTAGTATGCCAAACATGTCATGTAAAAGATTATTATTTGCATTTTTTTTTTAATTTCGACTTTATTCAGTCTAGATCATTCAAGATTACTGGCAAAATCCAACTTTAATTATTTTTTATAGAAAGTAAAAGTAATTAAATATAAAGTAAAAGGTGGGGTTTGGATGAACTGAATCGATTGAGGCAAGTAGAATTAATTGCACGAGAAGTGGCGAATGGGAATTTGAATAGCCAAAGGTTAAAAAACATGGGGGCTGGTTATATGCTGTCTTCATGAAAACACACGAAAGGTAGAGAAAATGTTAGGGGTATGAGACGGGGTGAGTGGATAGGGGTGGTAACAAAAATAGGAAGGGGCATAATACACAACTGGGGACGGCTTATAGGAGGCATTGGCCTTTTGGTGAAGGATGGAGTCACTTTTTTTATTTGACCGTCCATTCCTCTTTCCTTCTCTTATATTTATGAATTTTTTCTATAATTGGCCTTTCCGTAGAATCAGTCGAGGAGTCAAAAAGACTATTATATTCATGTCAGCTTATTTCTTACTCATGGATAGAGGAAATCATAATAACATGACTCGTGGCTCCTCATGGGGTGTCCAAGTTGGTGGAGTAGGTGAGTATAGAGGCTTTTGATCACGACTTCGATTCTCTCTACCAACACTTTCTCGATCGAGTCTGTCGCACAAGACTTGCCTAGTACGGTTTATTTGACTGGCGTAGTTTGTAAACTATTGTGTCAGTTCGAGAGTTTACCAAGTGCGTACCCGAAGGGTAGCGACCGCGGGTTTCCCTGTTATTAAAAAAAAAAAAAACTATATGACTCGTGAATGTAGATAAAATTCATCGATTTAACAGTACCTTAAGATGACATATTAATGGATGCATTCAAATTTTTTTATTGCCCGTTTAATATTGTTCGAGTAGAGTTGAATGAACGATCACTTATATTTGTCTTTAAATTGAATTTGAAATCTCATATGCGAAGTTCAATGCAACATAAAGAAAAATAAAGGTCAATTTTCTATATTATGAGAGAATTTGAATCAAGCAAGATTAAACTACTCTTATTTTTGGTAAATGACAAAAGTTATCAAATTGTCTAACTTGAATGACATCCATAGAACGAGGGAAGGAAATTCCACACGACTTTATCTTTTTCCAATCAAACATATGACTGACATATGCTTTTAGTATCCTCTCGCACATTGAGTGATGTGACACAAACGCATACTTGAGCAAACATGTATACAAAAATTGATGGTTTTTTTTTTCTCTATTATTAAACCAAATAAAAAAAAAATTTAAAATATCGTCTTTTTTTTTTTTTAATCAAAATATCTACAGTATTTTTTATAATATCTATTTTTTTTTTTTATCCCAGGCACACCGAAATACATAACTCCCAAGCCATACGAGGAATTTCTTCATAACTTTCGTTTTGAGTTGGCATATCGACTTACGAGAGTGAAACCAAGCTCAGGATCGCCTGGGATGTTTGTTCTTGTCTTGTCCGACGTTAGGAAGAAAGTTGACTTCAACATAAAGAATGAATCAACAAGTCAAACCAATGACACTGATCAAATATTTTACGATTAATATGAGCTATCATATCACTTGAACCTTATGATAAAGAACGGCAAGTACAGCTAATGAACTACTCATCCAAGATTTGGCACCTACAAAGAAGATTCAGAATCTTCAATAATCTGTTCAATAAGTTGAGGCATAGTATAAACCTCTAATGTTCGGTCGATTTGATACTGTTTAATGAAAAAGTACACCCAACATTGAAACTCAAATGTAGACCTTCATATTAGACATGAAATCACCAATGCTGCTACCGACTTTCACTAAGCCGCCGTCGCCGCCTTCCAGCCAACAATCGTGCACGGTGCTGCACTGATCGGGAGACATTATTTCCAACTCGTCTAGATGAAACAGCAGCCCCAGTTTGACGCATAGCAAAATCTCCCTCGTCTAGTGAATTATAATCATCCTGGAAAAAATCATGAGAGCTATTCCAACGTCCACCATATGAATGCACCTGTCCCATCCTGAAAATCGCATCATCCAAATAATGATCAACATCATAACCCCGAGAAAAACCACGATAGTTATTCTCTATTACATAATCCCCTACAACAATAGCACCAGGCATGGTAGATCTAATTGCGCTAAACACATCACTTAGATCTCGTTCATTTTCAAGCTTTTTCCATTTTTCCATATTTGAAGGATCCATTTCTCGAGGGCACCCCAGAGGATGCTCCAACTTCACATGCTTCCTTAGCTTTTTATAGGTTCCGACAAATGAGCAATTATTCTGCATGCAACTTCGCTTCTTCGCATTAAGGAACTTTCTAGCAGGTTCCACCACGGTCCAACCTTTCACCTGCCCACGGCAAAGTGGGCACAAGAGCTCGGAAGTTTCCACCTTTCTATCAGGCCAACCAGATGTTCCCGATAAGTCTGGATCATCTGTTGACAATTGCCATGGTTGTGTACTCTGGGTTGGAGCAGCCCTAGCGTAAGCCTTCCGATACTGTTCAAGACAATTGGAATACCGATGGCTAGTAGCGCACATATAAGGACGGCATCCCTTATCATAAGAGGAACAAAGCAAGAGGACAGCATTGTGAGGAAACTCCATGCACACAGAGCAAACTGCATCTTCCCAGTCTTTCTTCTCCGATGCTTTTAAACATCTTTTGCCATGGTGGGCATCTTCACAAAACCTTGTACACTGAGAGGAAAACCTACGCAGGCTAACCCCATGCTTTCGAGAATCAGATTTTTGTTGCTGCTTGTTGGATTTTGCCATCATTAATCTAACCTTGAATGAAAGAACACACCACACCCACCAAAAGAAAATGAAAATATGAATTAAAAAAATTAATATAAAAAAATATGCATCTCAAAAGGGAATTTTACGAAAGGTATGTGAATTTATCAATTGAAATTTTTACAAGAAACTTCTAATAAGTCAATTTTGTTGATTTGTTATTTTTCCCCTACTATTTTCTATTCAGAAGTCTAAATATAAAAGTATAAATTGGATTAGGCAGGGGATTAAATATTATTAAACTTCACAAAATTCATCTGCAATTATCTTCGATTAATTCGTGATTCTATTTCTCCTTCCGTTTTCTGTTCTTATCTTTCTCACCTTCCTCATCTCTGATAATTCCCATATAGACAAAAAAAAATAATAATAAAAAATAAATAAAAATTGGAGACAACCTTTAACATATAGCTTGATCCTAAAAGCATCATCTTGCAGCAAATTGTTACGCATGTAAAAGCATCAATAATAACACTCCAAGCATTCAATCCAATTACTAAAATTTTATTTTTGGCTATGTTCATAAACAATTAAACAAGTGCTCTAGAACCAATACTGTCCGATTGATATCTAAATTAACAATGAGAATGTCCACATTGTCTTGGAAAGCACCGAAACATGAATATCTTCATATCAATTCAACTAGGGTGGTGTATCAATGTCGGACACGAGTCGGATATTGACACTCTTCGAATACAATCATTTTTCTTTCTTTATCTAAAATACTATATACTTTAACTCAAAATTATTATTAATTAACTAATAGATACTCATATTTAAAAGATTTCAAGTAGAAATATTATTCTATATAAATGAAGAATTTTAAAAAATTTAATCATTGGTACTTTTTTTAAAAATTGCGTATTGACATATCCAACACAATACGCTGCATCATAGACTAAAAAACCATGAAAGTGGTACAGTGTCCATATAGAGTCAAATTGGCTATAGAAAGATAATAATCTACCATAATTAATTCCATGATCAGATGTTAAAGAGGAAGCATTCTTTTATAACTTTGAGGACTTTCTCGACATAAGAAACAGCAAGAGCCAATAAGCAATTAATGAAATAGCTGCCTGCTTTATTTCTCTTTATACTATCTTAATTTTCTTTTGAGTTGGAGTACTGCATGAAAATTAACTATAAACCTATTGATAGTTTATTAGTCCAAACCTTAATAGTAACTTAAACTATCAACTCCGAGTAATTCACATCTCCACCATATGACAATTTGGCATAAACAACCACCTTTGACTCCTCTAGTTTCTCGAACTACACTAAATTTTTCTTGTCTGAGTTATTGCATAATTCAAACCTACGCAAATATTTTACAACCCAATCATAGACAGCATATTTTCTTGAAACAAATATACGAAGCCAGTACAAGAGCTGTCAATGGAGAAAATACATATTTTCAAAACTAAAGCAGCCACTTCACAAGTGTACTATAAGTAACATATATATAATTGTACCTTAACTGTTATATAAAATTCTACCATTTGGGAACTGCAAAATCTGATGTCTTAATATCACTTAAGAAGGAAGCAACATCATAATAACAGTGGACATAATTCTCTTTCAAATGTGCATATAGACAATCAAATAAGATATTTTGATCTAATATTTAAAGAGCCACGGTTACTCCAGTGTGTTCACAATGCAATTCAGCCTCCATGGAAAATGTCAATGACAAAAAAACTCAATAACTTATACTATTGGTAGGCCATCATACTCCAAACATAATTGATCAAACTAAAGTACGGTTCTACCATGATTCTCAATGCAATTAAGATTTCGCTGATCTTTTAAAGCTCTGTCAGCAAAGGGGAAAGAAGAAAATTAAATATTTTTATATTTGTGTATTTTTTTTATAAGTAAAGTTGTTAGATCTAGACTTCCTGCAAGAAAACATTGCTTTGCAGATATGTAGGCTAACGTGCTCATAGTTGCACAAGTATGTGAACGAAAGCCCGACAATTCATCAAGCACATTCAATCATCAGTAACAGCCAATATTCACGCACTCATAATTTTAAAATTGCACTAAGCATGTTTCCAAATTTCTAATGCAACCAATCACATCAAAAAAGTCTATTTATTTTCATTTATTTCACTTGCACTCCAATTCATAGCAAATACATTTATTACAACGTTCTGAAACCTAATATCTCACAATGTGAATACAAACACAATGTAGCATAATTCAAGCATCCAATTTCTCTGAACAATCCGAACAAAAACGAAGCACTTCCACCAAGGCACTGGATACCAGTACCATACCAGCCCATATCATTAAAATTCAAAAACAATCAACAAAAGAACTAGGAAATTACATCCTCAGAAACCCACCAAACGTAAATTATAGAAGCGTGTTCAAAATTAAACTAAACCGATCTAAATTCCATCCTTTTGTATCACGTTAATAACACACAAATAAATATAAAATTAAAATTCTTCGAATAAAATTAAAATCGGCATCGAAAATACCTGAAAATTAAAAAATTGATTTTATTTTGCTTGGAGAGAAAAGAAAAAGGGCAGAGGAATTTCAAGAGATGCTCACGTTTGCGTGCGGCCTCTTGGATTAAATAGGTTAAGTGCTGGGCCCGGCCCATGAAGCCATTCCATTTCATTATGAAGCCATTTTTACCACATTGTAATGCAATTTCTATGTCGTCATATGTTCTTCTATTTTGACATTAAAATCTAATTTAGGATTTCGGATAAATTAGGGAGCTGAGATCAACGGTCAATATATTATCAAGATAACCGGATTGAGCAAGTCCAAATTTTTCATTAACTTTTATGTAGTGCGAACTTAGCCCTTGTTCGAATTCCATTTTTTTAATCAAAATACAATTTTTAACAGTGATTTGGCCACACTTCAATCACACATTTTTCAATAAAATAATATTACACTCAACTACATAACTTTTTTTTTAACCACACATTTTCTATGAATACACTATTCATAAATGCATTTTTTTTTTACGAGAACGGGGCTCAAACAAGGGCTTATATAAATACTCTAAACTAAACCCTGTTTGATAACAATTTTTCGACAATTATTTCGCAATTTCAACCGTCTTTTTCGACTTCTTCACTCATCGGTGAAATTCACTTGTCTTTCTAACAATCAAAAAATAATTCTCATAATAACTACTTAACAAACCCTTAAAATTGCACTTGTA